TCCTTAATTTTATCTGTTCCAAACCCCCTCAAAGCCCCACCTCCAGGAAATAAAAAATCTTGGCCTTCCCCCTCTAGTCACATCATCCCATTGCTGCTATGTCTCTTGCAGTTCTTGATTCCCTAAAAATTGTTTTAAAAAAGAAACATTCCTGTCTACTGCCTACTGTCATCAGCTTAATATCCCTGGCTGGTTATCCTTCTACCAAACCATCCATTGGCTTTTACAGCAGAACAATTAAAAAAACTGAGATCAGTGGTACGTCTAGGAAAGTTTCATCACTGATACTATGAAATACCTTAATCATGATAACATTAAATATATAAATGTAAATTTAAAACTACAGTAAATGTATAAATAAGAGCTATAATAACTTCCAGGTGATACACACACACACACACACACACACACACACACACATATTTGTTTTCTGAGGTTTTCGCGGGTATTTGTATGTGGATCTTTGGTTATTCGGGTTTTCTCCCGCGTAAAATTGGAAGTATTTTGGTGAAAACACATACAAACCGCTATCTACATGCACTCTCACACCATCACCCAGCACAGATCAATTCCGTAGCCAAGACACTCATCTCCAGAACAAAATGCTTAGCCGACGAACAACACCTAAAAACCGAACTACACACTCTCACTAACGTACTAACAGCCAATGGATTCCAAAGAAAGATTACCCACCAAATCCAAAAACAAACCCCAACCAAAATCCAAGACAGAGAACAAGAGAACGGCAAAGCCCTCCTCCCATATATAAAAGGCACTACAGACAAAATCAACAAGATCCTCCAAAAACACAACATTAAGACAGCATTCTGCACAAACTGAAAAATATCCACCATCTTAACAAACCCTAAAGACAGAATCGGGTTAGAAAACCAAGGAGTATACGAAATCCCATGCACCGTCTGCCCCAACACATACATGGAACAAACCAACAGAAGAATTAGTGCACGCATTGAAGAACACAAGAACTCAAATCAAAAAAGAAGAATCGACCTCTTCCCTGGTCCAGCACCTCAAAGCCACAGGACATGAGATTGACTTTAAAAATACCAGAACTATCACCAAAACTGAACCCTTCAACAACAGAATAATCAGAATAATCACAGAATCAGATTATCCCATACATGAAGCGAACTGACACCCACCATGAAGATGTGGCACGACCATGAACGCGAAGCCAAACAACAGGATCACAGCTCACCAGCTCAAATCCCCCAGCAACTAAGACTAACCTGAGCACAACCAAGCCCCCACCTGAACAGAACCCAATCAAGTCACACCCCCACTAGCAGTTAAAAGGAAGACGCAGTTGCAAGCTCACATTACTCCGAGAAGCACAAAGCCGAAGACACAAGCCTGAAGATGATGAATGAGACTTCATCGAAACGTCGCCTAGATACATCTAATTTTATGCGGGAGAAAACCCGAATAACCAAAGATCCACATACAAATACCCGCGAAAATCTCAGAAAACAAATATTGCACCTCTACGGGGAGGAAACCCACCATCTGACCAGGACTTATGAAAAACTTGAAGTCCAAAGAGCTTCCATTTTATGTGACCTCGCATTCCTACACAACTGCCGAGATCAAAATTTAATCCCCATAAGCTTCCAATTTAAATTCCACACCAACACAGCAGCCACCAAACGCATCCAAAAAGAGCAGAATTGGCCCTAATTAGAAATGAACTTCACACAAAAAGATTCCTCCTAGACCAAATCAACAAAGACCTCCTCACACTTCACCTCAGACTCAGCAACAAGATTCACCCCGCACTTTGGGACAAATCCAAACAACTCGCTGTATGGAGAGCCAAAACACAGACCACCCTCAAGACAGACTCACACACCAACAAACTCAGAAAACTACAACAACGCCAGAAACAAACTCCTCCCCCCTCACAGCCACACATGAAACAAACAGTGCACAACATCTCAGACAAGATCCTCACCAAAGCCGAAACCAATGTCCTTTCGAAAGGATTCAACTTTGCTGTCGCTCCCAAACACATCCCCACAGAAACCATCATATGCGGAGTTGAAACCAGCCTGACCAAAACCAACCCTGATGATGCTAACAGAATCAGACTCAAAATCACCAACATCCTCTGCACTAGCAAACCACCCAAAAGCAACTTATCCAAAGAAGAACAAACTGCACTACTTAACCTGAAAGAAGACACCAGCATAATAATCCTACCAGCAGACAAGGGCAACGCGACAGTGGTTAGGAACACATCTGACTACCAAATCAAGTTAACCAACCTACTCCAAGATCGCACATACAAACCCCTAAACACAGACCCTATCACCTACCTAGAAAAAACCACCAGATCCAAAATAAAAGCCTCCCTCATCAGCGAAGAAATCCAGCAAAGAATCATACCCAGAAAGAAATCTTCCAGATGCCCTAAGCTTTATGGTCTCCCCAAGATACACAAAGAAGGAACCCCACTTAGACCAATAGTCAGCTCCATAGGCTCAACCTCTACAAAACCTAGCCAAATTTCTCGCCAAACAACTACAGCCCTATGCAGAATCCATCAACTCACACGTAAGAAACTCATTCCAGTTCATTGAGATCATAAAGAAACAAAACTTACAACCCAGCAACCTACTAGTGAGCTTCGATGTCATATCCCTCTTCACCCAAGTGCCTATAAAAGAAGCCTTGACAGCCATACAAAACAAATACAACCCCCCAAGCACATCCTAGATCTGACCAACCACTGCCTATCCAATACATACTTCACCTACAATGGACAAAAATACAAACAAATAGAAGGAGCACCCATGGGATCACCTCTCTCACCTGTCATCGGAAACCTCTACATGGAACACTTTGAAACACAAGCTCTAGAAAAATATGATCACAAACCCAAACTCTGGCTCAGATACATAGATGACACCTTCATAATCTGGCCACACGGGAAAGAAAAGCTGAACAACTTCCTCACACACCTCAACAACCTACACCCCCAAATACAATTCACCATGGAAACAGAAGCTAACAATCAACTTCCCTTCCTAGATGTCTTAGTATACAAAAAATCCAATGGCTCCCTAGGACACAACATCTACCAGAAGAAAACACATACAGGCATGATATTCCCCTCTGAAAAAAAAATTGGGGCCGGCCAAAAGAGACCCCCCACCGTGCGCCAAGAAATCGCCCGCCCGCCCGCCGCGCGTGCCCGCCGCACGCTCCCGCCCGCCGCTCGCACCGCCCGCCGCGCCTGCCCGCCCACCCCTCGCACCGACCGACCGCCCGACCACCGCTCGCACTGACCGACCGCCCCTTGCACTGACCGCCACTCGCACCGACCACCGCGCGCGCCCACCCCTCGCCCCCCCCTCGCCCCGACCACCCCGCCCGCCGCTCGCCCGGGCTCCGCTCGCACCGCCCGGGCGATTCCGAAAAAAATCGGAATTCCGATTTTAATCGGAAAAATATCATGCCTGCACATACAAACCGCTATCTACACGCACTCTCACACCACCACCCAGTATAGATCAATTCCGTAGCCGAGACACTCATCTCCAGAACAAAATGCTTAGCCGACGAACAACACCTAAAAACCTAACTATACACTCTCACTAATGTACTAACAGCCAATGGATTCCAAAGAAAGAAGATTACCCACCTAATCCAAAAACAAACCCCAACCAAAATCCAAGACAGAGAACAAGAGAACGGCAAAGCCCTCCTCCCATATATAAAAGGCACTACAGACAAAATCAGCAAGATCCTCCAAAAACACAACATTAAAACAGCATTCTGCCCAAACTGAAAAATATCCACCATCCTAAGAAACCCTAAGGACAAAATCGAGTTAGAAAACCAAGGAGTATACGAAATCCCTTGCACAGCCTGTCCCACCACATACATCGGACAAACTAACAGAAGAATAAGTGCACGCATTGAAGAACACAAGAACTCAATCAAAAAAGAAGAACCGACCTCTTCCCTGGTCCAACACCTCAAAGCCACAGGACATGAGATTGACTTTAAAAATACCAGAACTATCGCCAAAACTGAACACTTCAACAACAGAATAATCAGAGAAGCCATAGAGATAGAAAAACGCCCACACAGCATGAATAAATGAGATGATACCTCCCGCCTACCAGCCATTTGGAAACCCGCCCTCATTAACAAACGAGTACCTAACATGAAGAATGACACCAGACCCACACCCACGAGGGCCACACAAGATGCTACCACCACACTTCCACGTAGAAAGCAGACTCACACCCACACAGAAGATGATACACGACCATGGACCAGAAGCCGTACCGCAGCTGCATCACTGCCCGCTTCAAACCCCTCCGACCCATACATGAAGCGAACTGATGCCCACCATGAAGATGTGGCATGACTACGAACGCGAAGCCAAACAACAGGATCACAGCTCACCAGCTCAAATCCCCTCGCAACTAAGACTAACCTGAGCACAACCAAGCCCCCACCTGAACAGAACACACCCCCAGCCAATCAGAACACAGCCAACCCCCTACCAATCAGAACACAGCCAAACCCCCACCCAATGAGAACACCCCCCACCCAATCAGAACACAGCCAAACCCCCACCCAATCAAGTCACACCCCCACTAGCAGTTAAAAGGAAGAAGCAGCTGCAAGCTCACATTACTCCGAGAAGCACAAAGCTAGTCTAATTCAGAGGTGCAAGGCAGTTTGTGGTAACTTTTAAAATACTTGACAGCTTTAAGACTTGTGGACTTCAACTCCCAGAATTCGTCCTCCAGTCATGTTAGCTCAGGAATTCTGGGAGTTGAAGTCCACAAGTCTTAAACTTGCCAAGTTTGAAGATCCTTGTTTTAAATCAATAGATCAAGAAAAAACCAAGAAAAACCAAGCCCAACGAAACAGTCCAACAAAATTTTCAACAAACTGATCCATAAAAGATACATAATTCCTGAACTTGAAAATAAGGATGCCATTTTTAGGAAAAAAAATACCTTTTAAAAAACAGGAACACTTGGGCTTTTAAAGCACCAAAAATCAGGTAATCTAGCTTCAAATCCTTTCTCCACCAAATAGCGTACTTGGTCTTTGGCAAATCTGTAAAACAAAAGATATATCAGGAATTAAATGTATAGATAATGCAAGAAAAAGAAAGTCTCTGTACAGGGAACCATATCTCTTCCTGCAGCAATAAAAAGTGCTATAAAGACTTTTTTCTGGTTATTAATAATGTGATAATTTAATTAAAAAATATGTGCTTTCTTTAAAGTTTTATGAGCCAAAAATGGAATATAATGTTCAGGAAGCAAGTGGACCACTGGCTGAACTCATACACCCTGCTGTGCATAAGGCAATTTTCAGCCATTGTGGTTTATAAATCAGAATGTTCTCAATGGCATCAATCCATATGTGTTGACACAGAAAAATGCAACGTTTAGCAGTAAACTGAATGTATAACATGGCTGTAAATCCTATATTGGCTTTTTTTCACTTTCTCTTCTAGAAAAACAACTCTTATATTAAAATAGCTTGAAAGACAAAGCACTATTCAAACCTTTGGTATGAAATTATTCTGTTCAAAATTTCTACTCTCTCTCTTTACACACACATAAATAGATGTAAATTTCATAGAGTTAAATGCGGGGTTACTGCCAGTTCCATCAATATTCAATTTCAATCCTGGCTTGCTTTCTGTCTTCCTTACAATAAAAGATCAGTTTCAAACACATTTGATAGTACTGAGAGGATTGCTTTGACTTTTACTACAAAATTCTATCATGAACATGAAATTTAATCTAAATAACTTGCCAGGAGGCTTATACTCTTGGCGAATGGAAAACTTACCAATGAATGCTGTGCCTGATGTGTTCAGTGAGCTCTATAGAAAATACCTTTCAGGAGGAGGCACAGAGGAGCACATGAAGAGTCCATGCAATAAACAGTTCAGTGGTGTCACTTTGGCACATGAGGCAAAATTCCATGTGCATATTTGTGTTGGAGATATATTGATTATTTAAACCAGGGCTGTCCAACCTTGGCAACTTTAAGGTTTAGCTCTTTAAGACTTAGGTCCGCAAGTCTTAAAATTGCCAATTAAATTTATTTAAACAAAGGAAAAACTTAAGTTGTATTAAACATATTTGCAACCTTTTCACACGCAAGAGAGAGAATTTCCTCCTGACTGCAAGATCAAATGGTCCTTAATGTAACGGATTATTTCTCATCCCTAAACTATACTATCTTACTGATGTCACAAGCTTCCCTCCCAGCACCATATTTACACAACCTACTAACTACTGGGAAGAAATTAAAAAGGATCACCATAAGCTTGAATGTGGCCCCATTGACTGGTAATGAGAACTTGAGCAAGATACCTGCTTCAGATTTAAAATATCCTATATTGTATGAGCGTTTGACCACAGCCTGATTCAGGCATTATAGAAGAACAAGCAGAACCTGGGGGCAGACTCAAGAGAGGAATCAGCCTTGAATCATTACATTCCCACAAGCGATCCAAATTCAGCCCCTCTTGAATTCCATTAATTTATGTAGTGCCAATTTAGTGCTGTTAATTGACCATTAGATTTTTGTGTATAGGCTGAGCAATAAATTAGTTTAACTGGATCTTAATGTGATTCTTTGTGCATGAAAGGCATTTGGCCCAACACTGTAACTCTATAAATAAATAATCAAACCACTAAATTAACATGGTTTGGGATTAGTTTAGGAAAAACAGCACCCAGATGTAGGTCTATTAGTTTTATATCCTATCTTTCATTCAGGGATAGGAGTCTATGAATGAGATGTACAAAACCAATCTATAATTTACACTTGTCGTTTTTAATCTCTAGATTGTAATTAAATTGGCTTTCTTTCCATTTATATGATTCTCTTTTTAGTACTGTTGCAATAACTATAAGATACCTTGAATTTCATGTGGAGAATTTTAGTGTTAGTTTGAGACACTAAAATGATGAAGAGCAAAAGCTGTTGCTAAGTAACAGAATACATTTCGTAAGCCAGAAAACTCTTCATCAGGAATCTTGGGTTGAAACAAACTTGCCTAAGATTCTAAAAAGCTGAAGCAGTCTCATCAGAAACAATCTGTGGCTCTCAACCCCTATTTTCTCTGCCTCTTCCAAAGAAACCTGACATTGTGCTAATACTTAGACTTGCTGGAAAATTACCAAAAGGTGTTGTCTTTTTTTCTTTTTGCCTATTTCTGGTGGCAGTAAATGAAACAAAGAAAAGGCTGTGTTAAACCTCAGAAAAATCATATCACATTTATGTTTTTTAAAATGCCAGTACTTCCTTCAGCGCTGGAAAAATGGGCTAAAATCCAATCTTCTCTGGTGATAACATTAATCACTATCACTCACTGTAGTCATTGGCCACTGATTCTTTCTTTAAACATAGCAATCAAGAGATTTAATACTCACATCTAAGACTAAATGGAGCAGTGTAAGTCAGAGTTGTACATCTTTGTTTTCCGGGAAAAGATTTATGATTTTGTGATAACGGCCTTTCCTAAGAACTTGAATTAGCTGTTTGTTCAAAATGATGATGGTGCTGAATGAAGGCTATTTATGCGGACATCACAGCACTCCTTCCTCACATGATCATGGTTATGAGGCACTTGGCAACCAGCCTGCGCTTACAACAGTTGCAGTATCCTGCTGTCATGTTATCACTGTTTACAACCTCCCCCTGCTGACTTCCCACAAGCAAAGTCAAAGGGGAAGCTGACAGGGAAAATTTAAATTGCTCCTGTTCCTGTAAAAGTATGAGGTCCCAGAGATATTGGATCCTGTAGTGTGCACAGCAGCACCTCCCTGCCTGGACTCCATAGTGCATGTCCACTTGGCCATACCTAGCCACTGCATCGTCTACCTGGCCATGCTCACACCAAGCCGCTGCACCTACCTGCTCTCCACTTGTCTGGACTCCAGTCTCTCAACACTTAATGCACTGTTGCACAGCGTCACAGCACTCCCCTACACAAGCATGTTCACTCTGTGCCACAGCAATCTCTCTGCCCAACTGTGCTTGTACCAGGCCACAGTACCCATCCTACCTGCAGGCCTGTTTCTGAACTGCCTACCAAAGGTTTCCTGCTGGCTTCCCCACTGACTTTGCTTGTTGGAAGTCAGCAGGAAGTCTCAAGTTGTAATCACATGAGGTCCTCATTTAACAATAGCAACAGCAACTGTCAGGATTTATGTTGCTAAATGATGCACTTACACAATGTCACTTTATAACCGCACTGCTTATTGATGGAAATTCTAATCCCAATTAGACTCATTTAATGAGGACTACTGGTAGTTTAAAACCAATAATGAATACAGAAACCTAAAGATACCATATTAGCACTAGAAGGTTCCTGGAGTAAGGATTCTGAAATTTAAATATCTAATAACTAAAATTCTTGTTATCCTGCCGGGAGATGTATAGATATAATTACTTCTCTGCAATTATTTCTTAAAAATTCTTTAAAATGCGAACAAGAACAAAGTTGCTATATCAAGGATACAGTTCATATAACTTAAATGCTAAATGTCTGCTGCTGTTTGGTCCTGTATTTGAAACTTCTGTTGAGCAGGGACCATCCACACATTTGGGACAGAGTGCTCTTTAAAATAAAGGCTACCACCATCATCTGGCCTATGACCCATAAACCTCAGAGAGGACTTCCAGAGACTATTCTAAATAGCTAGACTGGTAGAGCTGATTTGATTTTGGCAAGTACCTAAATATATCCTGGTGCTGCACTATAAAAGGCTGAAAAAGTGATAGTACTTAATTGGTAAATCGATAATTGGCACTATGCTTCAATTTGACCCAGAAACCTGTTGGCAACCAGGGCAGATTTTTTTCAAGAATAAAGAAGCACATACCACTGAAAGGAGGGCTTAATGCCATAGCAGAAATCTTTCTAAGAAGATTGGAGGATTTTCCCTATAGGGTTATGTTCTAGAATTGGAATTTGATTGCAGTTTGGGCAGGCAAAAGGAGTCAGACACTTTTTACTTAGCATATATTTTATTCATCCTAGATATATATAATATCTGATTGTGGAACATTTGACCAGTGTATTTCTAAGGTTCTAAGAATGATTGGAAAAACATAATAAAAGGTGAAAGTCATATTTGCTCCTGCATCAGTGGTGCACTTGTTTTTTTATGGAGCTTAATTGTCTAATTATTTTAAAATATATTTATTGCACCTTTGAATTTTAAGATCTGCAAGGTAACTAACAATAAGATGACAAACTGACAGGAGCAAAAACAACAACTGAGTAATGGGTCCATCTTTGCATATAAACTGAAAATCAACAGAACTTTCAAGGATTTGTGATAATTGAAAGAAGTATATGGTAAGTAAAATGGGATTCCGCTTGGAGAACTTTTAAAGTCTCATTTTTGGGGACTTCCGGTTTGTCAGCTTCGCGAGCGGCAGGGATTTGCGATCCTGCGCGATCCCTGCCGCGCTAGCCGCTTTGATGCCTCCGATCCATCGATCTGGAGGCTAGGGCTGCCATGAAGAGGCAGCCCAAGATAGGAGGGATCCGGACAGGGGGTTGGGGTCTTCGCAGACCCCTTCCCCACCCAGCTTAACCTTCTCTCTCAAGGCGGTGGAGCGGCGGTCTGTAATGGCCGCCACAAAGAAGCTGACAGCTGGACAAGATCGTGCTGGAGGAAGAGAAAGTGCTTAAGCGAAAGTTTCTTGGCTGAACTGGACTATAAGATTCAAGTAATACAAGTAATATCCTGAAAATTCGGATTTTTTGAAAGATATTTTGTTTCCAGAAGAGATTTACAAGCGGCGAGTGAAAGTGTTTTAAGAGAAAGTTTACTCTCCTTCCACATGGATTTAACAAATGGATATTGAAAATCCTGCTATTTTATAGAAGGTAAAAATTTAAAGCTTTCTGTTATAAGTGGGAAGGGAGAGGACAAAAAGAAAGTTTTCATTAAGATTTTGCTGGAGGAGATGCCTGGAAGATTTTGAGATTGGAAGTTAATTGTAATGAGACTTTAAAATACAGATTGGGGTTTTTTTTCCTTTGCCAACTGATATCACCCCAGGAAGAAAAAGTG